CTAAATACGACGTCGTTGGCTTCATAAACAACACCGGCTCCTTCAAACAATCAAACCACGGATAAAAAAAAAATTTGATACAACATATTTTTCATCAATTTCTCCAAAGAGTAGGATTTTTTTCCGGATAATGACAAATTAAAAACACATAAATTCAAAATTAATTCAAAATTTTAATACAACTTTTTGTATCAATTTTATCCCGAACGAGAAATTTTTCGATCATATGACAAACTAAAACACATTAATCAATAAACGATCAAAATAAAATAAAATATATCGTATATATGTACAAGTACATACTTTGGGGACGGCGTTCCCGAGTTCTTTCGCGTGGGCGGCGTAGTTACGGCCAACGGCGACGATTTTGGTTCCGACGCTGAGGAGTTTTTGGTATGCCGAGTATGACGTCGCCATTTTCGGGGCTTTCGAGATTCTTGTAGTACTTCCAAATACAATATTAGTACTAGGGAAAGCTGCTCCTATGTGGATCTGTGTATACATATACAAGAAAATGTATGCATAGGCAGGGGAGATTGATAGAGAAGCTATAAAATTCTCCAACAAATTGTTCACTTTCCATAAAAAGAGTAAATAGCAGCAAATGTCCCAATCTTTAATTTTATTTGCACTTTGATTCCCAAACTTTTCTAGACTACTTTGTTCTCATTGCATATACAAGTGTTGACATCGCATGGAAGAACATAGCGTTACACTTAGTCAAGTTCATAGGCTTATAAAACACCTTTTTATCTGTTCTTTAGGTGCCATGAATATGTTATTGTTATAAGCTCTTTATTATTAGAAAGACATTCCAATTTTCAAAATGGATATCTAAAATATATGTATGTTGATAATATTCGACATATTCTCATAGCATGGAAGAACATAGTATCATGCCTAGTCAAGTTCTAGACTTACGAACACGCCGTTTTACTTGTTCTTTAGTACTATGGATGTAATATTGTTAGAAGCTCTTTATTAGAAATGCATTCCAAGTTTCAAAATAGATACTTGACAATAGCTGACATAGATAAGCTTACGAACACACCCTTTTATTTGGGGGTATTTTCCAAACTAGCCGAATATATTAGATCCATTTGGGTTTTTATAAAAAAGTCTATTTTACCCTTAATGATATATATTTTGTTTATTATAAAGTAGATCATTTCTTTATAAATGGTTTTGA